TTGAATGGGTAATGAAGAAAAACTTTGCTGTTGTATTAAAGTTTTTCTTCATTACCCATTCAAGCCGTCTCCAGCCATTATTATTCAGATAGCTGATTCATGAGTAAGTAGAACACCCAACCTTCTATTAACAAATCAAATCCTGGTCTCCCCAAAAGCGTCAGCAGACAAACAGCGAAAACGTTGGATACAAACTAGCAAGTAATTACTATCTAAAAAGAAGAAAAAATGTGTTTAATTGACTACTAACCATGACGGTGATTGATAGCCAGTCGCCACAACCTTACCTAAATTAATTACATAAATATATTTTTATTTAAATATTTTGAATCACAGATGTCGCTGTATTGAGGTGATATTGTACGGATAACGTTACTGTAAAATCCTTCGGTGATTAAATGACGTAATTTTAAACATTTACTCAAGTTTCTTAAGAAATTAACTATTAAGATGTAGTCGCCATTTTAACTTTTGTCGGTCGAAACAATAAAAAGTAATTAATTAATAATTATACCTAAATATTATTTTATTTTTAGATGCGAAAAAGGTAGATTGTAAAGATGCAGATGGCGTCATTTCATATCACCAAGACAAACAAGACTGCTCCAAATACTATTTATGTCATGGTCGAAGACGTCATCATATGCCCTGCCCACCAAACCTCGTTTTCAATCCTGACGAAAATCTGTGTGATTGGCCGGAAAACGTAGATTCCTGTTTACTGACGTCATCAGAGAATTCTATTGTTGTTTAGAGCTGTGTGTTGCTTGCGCTCGGTTTCAAGATAACCCTTCAACGCCTGCGAAACCAGTTAACTAAAGTTCATTTTAACCCATGATAACCGCTGAACACTGGATACGATCATATTCTACACGTTAGTGCTATCAGCCAAACTTTTAAATCTATCCAACCTGTACCTTTTTTTTTTATTTGAGTCTCTTCCAACGTTTGAAACTTACCGAGTTGAATTTAACCCTCACGCAGGTCAAATGTCAGAGAGTAATTTGTTTTCAGCTACGAGATGGACAACAGACAGATATGATATTGTACTGGTACCGTTGATATGTTGTACAGAGACTAGTAATACTATTTGTTCTCATTTTCCAAATTCAATCCATTTATTATCAATACTGTAATAAAAACATCTATAACCAAAGGATTATTCGAATCAGTCAACCAAACATAGGACGTTTTATGCTAGAAATATTTTGACAACTGGAGACAAACGTCCATAGTAGGTTGTTTGCCTGAAATCCGGGTTGGAATGTTGAGTTACCCTAAAATATATATATATATATATATTATAACAAGATTTAATCGAGATGGCCCAGCATGTCCGGACTGTGGATCCAAAAGTTTATGGTTTGCTTCCCGTTTTTACCTGTTTAAAATCACGGACGCGAACATTCTAAAATAACAGTAATAATTATAACATGTTTGTATATCCGCATCTTGAAATATAAAGTGATTTCTAATCCGTTCGCGTGTCCAGTTCGTTCAATCAAAAATACATTTAAATCTGAAGGTTGAACAATAAATAATCTCAGTATAGCTAATACAAGTAACGGATAATAGATGGCGCTATTAGCAAGAACATGCATGTGTTCGTTACGACCCAAACGAATCCGCCGTGTATCCAGATTGCAAAATGCGACAGATCGTTTGATACATTTGCTATTGAATAAAAAGTCTAAATTACGAAATAGACCCACCTCAAAAAAAAAAAAAATTAAAACCATTTGCACGTTGGAATGGGTGACGACAAGTGTGGAGGAGGACGTTTTGAATGTCCTTCCCGTCTTCAAATAATATTCATGTATTGGTTGTAGTCCACCACTTTGTTTATTACAGGATCGGTATTGACGTAGTAGCTTCACACAAATATAGCGTCAGTAATTCAATTAATTCGTTAAAGTTCCCCTATAATTGTTACAGGAATATTAACAACTTCATCCCATTTCTTGGGGCAGTTCCGAGTGATGTAGGAAGAGAAACAATAAAATCATGTACTTGACATAGTGTGTGTGTGCTCCTCCACACTGGAGTGAATGAAATAAAACCATGTACTTGACATAGTGTGTGTGCTCCTCCACACTGGAGTGAATGAAATACAATCATCTACTTGACATAGTGTGTGTGTGCTCCTCCACACTGGAGTGAATGAAATACAATCATCTACTTGACATAGTGTGGTGCTCCTCCACACTGGAGTGAATGAAATAAAATCATGTACTTGACATAGTGTGTGTGCTCCTCCACACTGGAGTGAATGAAATAAAATCATGTACTTGACATAGTGTGTGTGCTCCTCCACACTGGAGTGAATGAAATAAAATCATGTACTTGACATAGTGTGTGTGCTCCTCCACACTGGAGTGA